GCTCCAGCCTTGGCAACATTATGTCCTTCCTGTAATGAGGTAACCAAAACTACACACAGTGCTCAAGTTGCGGCCTTACTAATTGTTTATAAAATTTCAACATAACCTCTCCGCTCTGACCTTCTATATTTTGGTAAATAAAGGACAGGCTTTCATTTGCCTCCTTAACCACCTTATCGACCTACCTGCTCCCTCAGGGATGTGGAAATCATTACATCTCAGTGTTTGCATATTTATTGTAGATTCCTTTGCCTTGTTTCACTTCCAACATGCCTCATCTCATACTTCTCAGAGCTGAATTCCATTTGTGACTTTCTGCCATTTGACCAGTTCATTGTCAGCTTCCTGAGTCTATAGCCTCACTCCTCACTATCAACCATCTGCCCAGTTTTTGTGTCATCTGAAACCTTCTTGATCAAGCCCCTTTACATTTATGTCCAAATTGTTAATATTTACCACACTAAGTGGGAGGGTGGTGGGAAGACCAAGTACTGAGTCCCAGGGAACACCTCTCTAAATAGCCTTCCAGATGGAAAGCAAAGTCCAGTTTGCCACTTTGCTGGATCCCATGGGCTTTTGTAACCAGTCCTTTATATGGGATCTTGTCATAAGACTTGCTGAAGCCCACATCCATTACACCACTCTATAAATCCTTCTTACTGCTTCCTCCAAATATACAATAAAGTTTATCCAATAGGATTTTTCCTTAACAATCCCATGCTGATTAATCTAAATATCATTATTGCAATTTGCCAAAGTTTAGAGATTACTGATTACTGATACAAATTACAGATCACCATTACAGTGACTGCACACAATTATAGATCACTGTGAATTACATACCATAGGTCATTGTTATAGACAGCTGATCACCACTATTGATTTCTGATCCCTATTACAGATTGCTAATCACTTTGCAGATTACTGATCTGATCACCACTAAAATTTGCTGGTGACCATTACAGATAATATTTTGATTCATTTTGGAAGGTCAAATTTGAATGCAGAATACAGGGTTAATGGCAGGATTCTCGGCAGTGTGGAGGAACAGAGGGATCTTGGGGTCCACGTCCATAGATCCCTCAAAATTGCTACCCAAGTTGATAGGGTTTTAAAGAAGGCGTATGGTGTATTGGCTTTCATTGGCAGGGGAATCGAGTTTAAGAGCTGCAAGGTTATGCTACAGCTCTATAAAATTCTGGTTAGACCACATTTGGAATATTGTGTTCAGTTCTGGTCACCTCATTACAGGAAGGATGTGGAAGCTTTAGAGAGGGTGCACAGGAGATTTACCAGGATGCTGCCTGGACTGGAGGGCAGGTCTTATGAGGAGAGGTTGAGGGAGATAGAACTTTTTTCATTGGAGTGAAGAAGGATGAAAGGTGACTTGATAGAGGTTTACAAGATGATGAGAGGCAGAGATAGAGTGGATAGCCAGAGACTTTTTCCCAGGGCAGAAATGAC